GGTTACTTAGTGCTATAGACCAAAATCATTTTAAAATGGGGTCAAAATACAGGAGGTAGCTAACATGAATGTCAGAGCATTAGGTTAATGATTACATGACAGGAAACTGCAGCAAGAGGCCAGCAGCTTGCAGACCAGCAGCAGGCTCCAGGCAGGCCGCAGCTGATGTACGAGTCTGCAGCAGCCCTGGGCTGTGGCAGCACAGGCCCCTGCAGCAGTCTGGAGGTTTGTGTCTGAACGGAGCAAGTACAATTTGCGAATGGAGTTGAAGACATGGTAGCATGATGTTGGTGACCTGGTGATCTAGCTGGGCATCCAGACGATCCACAATGTCCATGGGGTCTTCATCGGGGGGGGCAAATATCTCCCTGCTGCATTTTCTGGGTGCTGCCCTTCACAGTTTGTCTGACCTCTCTTGATTTTCTGTCAGACCTCCTCCTCCTTCCCCTTCTCCTCTTCCTTCTCTTCCTCCTCCTGCTCACAGGAGTTGCTCTCAGGCCCCACCTGCACCCTGCAGCACTCAGGGCACCCATGGAGGTGAAGGTGTAAAGCCGCGCACTGTTCCAGTCAGTGACAATAATCTCCATAGCTCCTTCCTCTCCTTTAGGGCCTCTAAGCAAGAGACACACTTGAAGTTTTTACGTATCCGCAGTGCAGTTGGAATGAGCATTGATTATAACCAACACAGTGCAGATGTGCTGCAGACACGCTTCTGCAGACCCCTTCTCCGTGTGAGGTGGGACTGCGTGAGGATTAATGCGTGCAGGCAAAGCCAATACGTGCAATCAAGCATTGCACAGCCACTAGAAGTCTCTCCAGTGGTTTTCAACCTTTATTTTTTTTATTAGTACAAATATTTTTACTTCCTTGCAACATCAGTTTTCTTCAAGAGCTACTGTACACAGTGTTCAAGATGAAAAATTAGCCTGCTTTCATCCTGGTATCAACAGGAACTGCACTAAGACATAATTGTGGTAGGGACCGGATAATGACAATAATAGCATGTTAATTGCTTTAACTCTCTGAAGCATTTTGTGGCTGCCAGATCAGTGCAGTATCTGAGAAGCCTGTTGTGTTGCCTGTGTGATTTTGTTTCTGTATGAGCTCATCCCTTCCAAATCCCAGCCTACCTGGTGCTCCACAATACACAAGAGAGGGTTTTGAGATCAGGAGATCCTGACCCTTTTGCTTTTCTCCCATCATGAGGCATTGTCCGCTCCCTGCAGGTGTTTCACCACAGTGAGCCATGCTCACAGTGACCCTGTAGTAGAAGCCAGAGATGTTCCTGGCAGGAATGAAAATCCCATTTGGTTCAGCCAACACACTTACTCCTTCTGATACAAGCAGTCCTGCTTTTGTGCATTGGTAGATTTGTTTCAACAAGCATTAGATTAGTGCTTTGCAGATGTATTTTCATGTGAATCCTCCACCCTCAAGGAGCCTGGAGCTGCTCTGCTCCTCCTCGCATACTGTCGCATCCCATATCATATTCATCCACGACCACATGTGAGGCATTTACCTGTGTGGGACTGCCGGGCTGAGCAAAGACAGCCAAATGCACAGCATCAGGACCAGGCCTGGGGCAGCTTGCACGTAAGCAGTGAAACAGGACCTCGTGATAGGAATAAAATCCCTGGGTGCAAGCACTGCAGCATCGTGCTGCCCAGCAGAATCCCACAGAGTGGCTGTGGTGGGGCTCTGGCACGGCCCTGTGGGTGCTGTCCGCGCTCTCAGGGAAGGACAGGCCACAACTCTGCTCTCTGCCTCCACCAGAAACCCCAACCCTGCAGGCTGTGAAGGGTTTTGGGGAGGTGGCTGCCTCCGCTGTGGGTGCCTGGGGTGATGCCTCTGTCATCATCTCAGGGCACTGTAACCTCACACCCGCGTGAGGCCCTCTGCTTCAGACACAGGGCGAGAAAAATGGGAAAGCGAAGCAAAGCGTTGCAGAGACATAGTTGCACAGACAATACGGTATCTTTGGAGAAACCGGGTTCTATCCGAAACTGTGCAAGAGTATGCTTCAAAGCTAATCCCCAAATACATAGGGTCGCTATTCATAATGACTGTGTCAGAATTAGACATAATTCTCACACTTGACATTATAAAAGCTCTCACCATATTATTTAAATAAAATTTTTGTTTTTACAAGTGATGAAACCATACATCAAAATAATGTAAAAGAAAATACATGTTTCTGGAATTACAACATAGACTTGATAAAATTGGTAAAATAAGGCAAACCAAAGTGTTGGAAAAAATCCTGCAGTAGGTTAGACTCAACTGTCCACGATTAGAAGGTTTTGTGCAGTCTTTTAATGGGTGTAGCATGCTGGACTGTCAGAGCAGGACTGTCATATATAATATGAGAAAAGGGAACAAAAAACTTTTGCAAATATTTACACAACTGGCTGTATACTGGTGCATAGCAGCGCTCTGTACTGGCCTGTTCTTTAAAGGACACAGTTTTCTACTGATGTCTCATCTAAAGGTTTTTCCACTAATTGAGATGAACTTGTATAATTATTTTAACCCATCCTCTCCTATCCTGAGGCCGTGTCAGTGACAGGCTATGTGCATAGTTTAGAATAGCTCTTCAGTATCCCGACAATACGAGCCGGTGCCTGAACTCCAGCAAGCTGCGAACAAAAGCAAGATGGGGACCGCTGACTGCAGTCTGTCCTCTGGAGCAGAGTAGGTTATGTGCAGTGCATTTTTATAGACCAAAACAATTTGCTTTGAAAACGTAGCCGCGCTGTCACGCTATTTCATCTTTTATGATTGCGTGTGTTGACTGGCTATGTACACTAGCTCTCAAAACCCTTTTTTCGGCTTTAATCATTTATATATTTTCTTTTCAAACTAGCTAACAAAATCAGACCTGGTTATCTTCAAGCTGAGTAGCAGAACGGTCTTTTTATCCATCTTCTTGTATTTTGGCTGTTATGAAATTTATGATTTGTCGGCATTTGTGAAAAGTCATACTTCGGGCATTCCGACTTTTCCCCGCATTCAAATATAAATAAAATAATGATGCTAAAGGCATTAAAGACTACTTGCACCAAAGAAATGTTTGTTCCAAGGAGAAGACCTGGTACACGCTAACTTTCTCCTGCGAGCACACGCTTTTTTCTGAATCACACACTACCAGCTTGTGGTGAATGGTGGTGTTTTAAAACTGTACTGCTGACACAGTTTTGAAGTAGAATACCCCATAGGAAAGATGATGATGCACTTAAGTAGTTGGACCACATATCCTGTGCGTACTTTTTGAATTGTCATAGCTGTATTTTTTAAATGCCTTCTCTAATTCCCTTGAGAGCTTGCTTGGGGAATGGAGTAGGGCTTAGATGAAGCATGAAAAGCGAATTTCCAGCGGCCGCCACCCCACTTTTAACTCACAGGGCAGCTCGTTTCCCAGCAGGCAGGAATGAATACCTGCCTTGGCCTCTATCCTGCTTCCCAGAAATGAGCTGAGATGACGAGTGTGTGGCCGTGCGCGCAGGCCAGGAAGCGCCGCCTGTCGCAATGGCTCCCGCAGTTCCCCGTCACCCTGCCGAGCACAGAGCTGCCCCGCAGCCTCGGCGCCGCCTCTATAAAGCAACGTGCTCCAGCCAGGCCCTCACACATCTTTTGGCCGGGGTGTCGGGTGGGAGGAATACGGGCACGCCGGCAGCACGGGAGGAGGTAGGAGGCCGCCTTGTTGCAAAATGGAAGGAGGGGAGTTGCCAGCAGCGGTTGTCAGCGCCTGTGCAATGTGCTCTCTAAGCTTGCCCAGCACTCTTCTTTTCTTTCCCTTTGTTTTTCCCCTCTGTGAAGTAAGACGAAGCTCTGAGCGTACTCGAAATGTGCGGTGGTGGGGTTAAGGTGGCAAACCTGGAGAGTGTTACTGTAAGGTGGTGGAGATGCGTCTGGTGGCCCTCATTCATTTCTGTGCAAACAACCCACAGTCCGACTTCTCTGTCCATATGTGAAGGAGACAGAAATATATTGCCTGTGTAACGCTAGCAGGAAATCTTGAAATTAACCAGTGATATTTTGTTTTAACCAGTTTTGTTGAGCAGAACTAATTTTCCTTCAGTTTTGCAGTTGGTGAATTTTGTAGCGTTTTGTGTGCAGCCCTGTGTGAGCAGCGAATCTTGCACACAGCCAGTGGGGAAGAGAAAAATGCTTTCAAAATAGGAAAATTTGACTGAATGCTGGCAGGAGCTCAAAAGCAATTGCACACTACGAAGAGTTACTCTCAGTTTGGTTTTTCAAGAGACTAAATGTCAGGGCAGCTGCATCTCCTTCAGATGAAATTGTCTGACTGGGGCAGCACTGGTGGTGTGGCTTGCTTTGGCTCGTGTTATCTTGCTTGTTGGAAGTGATTTGTAAGAAACATTTTGAACTTTTTTTTTTTTTTTTTTTTTGATATTTTCGCTGTGCATCCCACATTTCTTTTGAAAACTGTTAAGGTTCATGTCAGTCAAGATCTGCATCTGAGGTCTTTCCTCGCTCGTTGTCACATGCAGTTTGGCATCGCTGCTCATTATAGGATTGCTTAAATAGTCAAATCAGTTCATGAAGTGGTATTTTTTTCTTCTCATGGCTATCTTTAGGGGACAGGGGTATATTTTCAAGGGAATCTGAACTGATGGGTTGGGAGGAATTCAGGATTTTTGCAGTCCTGGTGAAATTCAGAGGCAGGAAATGTCTCACTAAAAGCAGCTCGGTAAGATTGTACCAAGTTAACTTGATTTTATTAGTTCTTTAGAAAACTGGAGGGAAAAACCAGCTGGTCTCAGTGCAGAACTGCAGGGGTGATAGGACTGTTATCCCTGTGAAGCATCAAAAAGGCGGCTACACACGCTGCCGGCTGGGAGGGACGGCAGGGTTCAGCGTCCTCCATGTGGGGTAATCCCCACGGCCGTCCAAGGACGTGTCCAAGGAACTTTATCTTGATGGAAAATAACCTGTTCACTGTGGGTTGCAAATGTTACATTTTATTTTTACTCTTCCAGAAACATTGCTTGACTCACTGAAGAAATAAAACTGACAGCACCGCAGAGCCGTGTGGGAGAAAAGGGGATTTTAGACTCAAGTGATACAATCAAGTCTTGAGGAGTAAAGACATTTGGATGGGTTCTCACCAAATGGAAGTTATCTAGAGAGCCCCCAAGACCACTGCATCTCCACATCGTGCTTCTGCTGCGCCGAGACAGTGCTCTTGGCCCTGGACGTTAACAAAATGCTGGATTCAATCAAGTGTGTGCTGGTGGGGGACTCTGCGGTGGGGAAAACCTCTCTCTTGGTACGTTTCACCTCCGAGACTTTTCCAGATGCCTACAGACCCACTGTGTATGAAAATACTGGAGTGGATGTCTTCATGGATGGAGTACAGATTAGCCTCGGTCTCTGGGACACGTCTGGCAGCGATGCCTTCAAAGGCATTCGCCCCCTCTCCTACCAGCAGGCAGATGTGGTGCTAATGTGCTACTCGGTGGCGAACCACAGCTCCTTCCTAAACCTGAGGAACAAGTGGATCGGCGAGATCCGCAACCACTTGCCCCGCATCCCCGTGCTGGTGGTGGCCACTCAGACTGACCAGCGTGACACGGGGCCCTACCGCTCCTCCTGCATCAGCCCGATGGACGGGAAGCGGCTCGCCCAGGACGTGCGAGCCAAGGGCTACCTGGAGTGCTCTGCCCTCAGCAACCGCGGCGTGCAGCAGGTGTTCGAGTATGCCGTGCGGACAGCAGTCAACCAAGCCAAAAGGCAGAACAGGCGGAAGCTCTTCTCCATTAACGAGTGCAAGATCTTCTGAGGGCCGCCGGCGGTGGTTTCGCCTGCGTTCGTTCTCTCTGTCTTCTCACAGAGACACTGCGGCAGAGATAATGGGGGGTGAACCAAAGGAGGACTCCTGGCAGGACCACAGTGCAGGTGCCCCTGCTAAGACAGATGCGTGCTCTCTCTGATGTGTTCCCCCACCCAACACACACAGGCACTATCTAAAAGTGACGGGTGCAGGGGAATGCAGCCCTGTGCTTGGACTTTGCTGTCCTGGACTGGAGGATTTACGGACCATAGCCGTGCTGATTTTGTTACTGGTGTTCCTCAGTTGGTGGTTTGTTTGCATTTATTTAATGACAAACTTCTGCCTGGATCAGCCTCCCCTCGATATATCTGTCTATGTAGAGATTTTTTTTTTTACTCTAAGAATTTAACATATAAAACATGACCGTTGTATATCTATTTAAAAGAGTCTTGTATTTGCTGTTGTAAAATCCTGACACTTTGTTTTCATATTTTGGAAATTCTTCCTCATATTTTGGAAGTTCTTCCTCTACCTAACCACAGAAGCAAATCATCTTATCCATACAATAAATGGCCTGCAGGCAAGCTGACCACTTCTTACACATGCCTTAGTTACTGCACAACAGTGACTGAGCCCAGCATGTCCAGCGTAGGAGCGATTAAAACGTATTTGATAGATATTTGTCAGTTGTCCCATGGCTCTGTGAGATTTATGTTGTTATCATAGTCCTCTTCCTAGGAAAATGGAGACCACCTCAGGTCAAAAACAGGATGAAACAGGAGGAACGTAACTCAGTTCTTCCTAGACCTGACCTAATTACAACCCCAGAAGGGCTGGCTTGCAGTCAGGGCTTGTTTAGACACATGGGTGGGGTGGCAGAGACAAATCTGTACCTCTCATGTCTCCGACATAGTTTTGGAGGCAAAAGATTTCATTCTCCAGGGATGAAAGGTATTTTTTCGTGAGCACTAAAATTCTCACAATATTTTAGTACATTTTTTAATAAACTGTGGTTGTAGTGAAACCAGTGACCTACTATAGTAAAAAACTAAGTATGTGGCAATGTTGAACGTGCATATTTAGAAGGCTAAATAACATTTTTTGGGTTTGAATGGTGAGAGTAACTGCCTGGGTTCTATGAAGCAAAGACTGAAGCAGGTTTTGCACCCTGGGGAACTTGGCAGGTCTGAGCATCAAATCCTGGCATACCGGCTTGGGCCAAGCTACCCTCCTGCACAGAGAGCCAGGCTAAGGAGGTGGAAACTCCGGGTGTCTAAGAGGACTCTGCTGGAAGATGTAGAGGGTCAACCTGCCATGTTGTACGTTCCTTGTGAACTGTGGTGCCCCCTTTTCCTCATGTTACCTGCACCAAACCCGCTGCCCCACATCATCCCTCGGATTTTGCAGACCTGTCTCATCCAAAAGGTTTCTGCTGCCCTCCCTGTTCTTCAGCTAGCTCAGAACTTCAGCTAGCTCAGAACTCTGTAGCATACTGCCATGGACAATGGTGTACAAAACCGTAGGATGATTCTCCTTCTCCATGGGGAACCCAAGAGAACGAGCAGCATCTGTTCTGACTAAACCCTGACTCATGTGTTGCAACAGGAATGGATGTAATGGCTTTTCTAAGTCAAATCCAAGGTGGGAATTCAGGAGTTACCCTACTGAGCAAATAATCTATAGCTGGGTTCTAATCTACCTATAGTTGATCCCTAAAAAATCAGTTGTGTGCTCTTCTCCACTCTCTGTTATACCTCTGAGCTTCTCCATAAAGAGAAATTCCAAATGAAATCGTCATCCTCCTCCAAATCCTAGAGAAGATCTCATTTGTGATATAGGTGAGCAAGTATCTGCATCATGATCACCTTGAATACCAGTGGTGTGTAGGACATTTGATGTTGTAGTCACGACAGCTCCCAGCCTGGTGAATGTTTACCAGTCATCGACCTTATTCCAAGGGAGGCTTCTGGTCATTAAAACGTGTTGGTCTCATGTGAGGTGTCTATATCAGCTTCAAATCTTTGCAAGCTTCTGCATCTGAGTACACAAGATGAGGGCTCCCATCACCACCCATCTTTCCCGTACTCCTCTCTTTCTGACCCCTCTCTTTTTAAAACTTTACGTGTATATTGCAAATCCTTTGCCCCCTGAAACACTAAAACTGACATGTTTGTAAAAGAACCCGAACCGCCTGATAACTTATGCTGTGTTACGGAAGTAGCTAGGTATTAGCAGTCTTCAGTTAAAAATATTTTGGCTTTTGGAAGAAATGTTTCTATATCTCAATTCTTGTAATGCGTCTTCACCGAAAGTTTTTTTTTTTCCCCTCAACCCTAATTTAAAAGTAGCCATTGTTACTGTTTGAACATTAAAGAACATGTGCAAAATATCACTCTTGTTATGGTCCCTTTTTCACTACCTGATTTAATGTCTGTTTTCATCAATGTGAAACGTTTTTTGAAACATTTTTTGCCAGCATGTTCTATTATATGGTGGTGTGTGTGTGTGGTCTGTCTTTCTTTCTTTCTTTCTTTCTTTCTTTCTTTCTTTCTTTCTTTCTTTCTTTCTTTCTTTCTCTCTCTCTCTCTCTCTCTTTCTTTCTCTCTTTCTTTCTCTCTTTCTCTCTTTCTCTCTTTCTTTCTCTCTTTCTCTCTTTCTCTCTTTCTTTCTTTCTTATTAAGCTTTGCTTACAACAATTTATGCTGCTGTATTTATGTGTTGACAAACAGTAACTGCTAGGCCAAGATGCCCTGCTATGGTATCCATCACAGTATGCTGGGATTTGGGGAACAGAAATCTCCAAAGAATTGTTGTATCAGAAAAAGCCGGATGAAAATGTTCACACTGCAATTCAAAGTCCCATTCCATCTATATTGGCTTCACAAAGCTTGTGATAATATATTATAAAATGATGAATTTTTCATTGCAACTTGCTGAAGCAAAATGGATGGGCCTCCCTGAGCTGGCGATATGGGATGCAGAGGGAATTCAGGAGTGGCTTGATATACTCTTCGCTGTGCATCCTAGAGCTGGTGTGAATCCACTGAAAGTTGGCTGAAATTTAAAATCAAATTGAAGAGAGCAACAGGGGGATTTGGAGTAACAGTCACAGAGGGATTTGGGTTTGGCATTATGCAAAAAAAGAGAACTGTTTCCAATTTTCACAGCCTGCTTATTTTCAGGCTCTCAAAGCTAAAAGGCACTTTTCATTGGGAACAAACTGTGAGACACATTATTTCAGTGTCCATAATTATGCGGCTTTCGCTGGGCTGATGTGCTCAAAACGTGTGGCAGCTTAGAAGCAGAGTGACATCTGGACGTGGCAGATTCTGGCAGAAAACCCTGCTGGGTCCAGGCGGGCACCGCTCGTGCTGTAATAGCACCGCAGCCTGCACGGACATGCAGACCCGCACAGCACCTTGCCCATGTCCACAGCCAGCCCTGCAGGAGGACAGACAGACAGATAGACCTGCTCTTTCCTCAGGCCTCATCCTGCTCAGAGGCTGACCAAAGCCCTGCGATGCCAGGCTGAATGCTCCTGCCAAAAAGCGCCGCCAGCGCAAATCACATAGCTGCTTCTCTTTATTTCTGAGAAACACTAATCTCTATTTGAGTGATTCAAGATGTTGGGCCACCTCCTGTTTTCTCTCTCTCTTTTTTCTTTAGATGAAAAGATATTTCCTTTCAACGCTCTGAATTATGCAAACTTGAAAATGTCACTCAGTGCCCCCCGCCGGATTTGGCCGAGCAGCTCACTGGGGTGGAGCCAGCGCTTCTGCAACCGCACCGTGTATGCGGTGCGGATGGGAAGGGGCGGGATGGACAGCTTATAACTCCCCCCCAAAAATATACCAGGGTTATTTTGTCAGCATTACGTGGGCAGCGGGGTCCCTGGGTACAGCTCTGTGGTAAAAACCCAACGCCAGTATTCAAAATACATTCAAATGACAGGTGGGCAAAAGCGTTTGGCTTCTGAAATGAGGTGCAGCCTGGTGGCTTGAGCTGTTCTGGCCAAGAGGAGGAACCTTGCCCAAAAGTTCCCTTTCTGACATTTCAAACCTTTCACTTTATTACTACTTTGTTGCTAAATTAACTTTGGCTTACTATTAAAATAGGTTGAAAATAATGAAAACAAAAAAAGAGAGAAAATATTTGAAGCAAAATGAGAACAGCAACAGCACCGCTGTTTTCATCACTATATGACTTCTCGTTTTGACAGAAAAAGATCCCTTTTGGGTCACTATATTTTTAATGCATTCTGCAAATTAGATAAAAAAGTTTAATAGATACACAATTATGATTAGAACTGGAAACTATTATTTTGCAAAGTATGGTAAGTATGGCCTACGTTAAATACAGATTTCACAGCCTTTTTGTACTTACTTGGTCTATGTCATATGACATAAATATTTTCTAAGATTAAATAGTTAAAATGTTTCATATCCCCCCGGTTTTATATGGGAAATGATTTGAGCTTGTTAGATGTAATTGCTTTTGTTTTGCCAGTCCAATATTCGCAATTAATAGTTTGCAAATATTTCTGTAATTTTTAGGTGTACTCTGCAATTGCTAAGGTGTCTGACCACATACTAGCGAATGCTTGTGTTGCATTAACACCTGTTGTCTTTTTATACATGCTACCACCATGAAATAAATCACCACAGGGATCAGATGTGAAGAACAAAGAAATGTCAGCATCTGACATCTCAGCTTTCCCTGTGTTACCATTGTATCCAAGTGAGTACAGCTATCAAAATAATTTCAAATAAATGGGGCAGTTCATGTCCCCTCGCTCTTTCTCCTAATGCCTCTCTGACAGAGGGCCCAAGTGTTGGTGACAAGGATTAAAAATAAAACAAAACATTTCAGAAGATCAGAACAGCCTGTCCCTGCCTTTGTGAGTAAGTTAACCACTTTGACTTCATTAAAAGTCAGTTCAGCCTCTGGAAACAAGCCAGATATACGCGCAGTTGGGTTATCTGGACAGCTTTGTTAGAAAACGCTCCCGAAACACTGTGATGAACTTTTTCCTCTGGATGTAAGGAAGCACGTTTTTTCTCAGAGATCTCACTCACAGCTGTAAGTGAGAAAAACCCAGGTGGGTTATCACGGTGCACCTGCTCTAACTGACCTCCTGCGTGTCCCTCACATTGCGCTCTGAGCAGCCGGCTGTGCAGAACAAAATTCAGGGAGAAAACAACCCTTTTGCACATTTAGGTGTTTATGTTGCCGTAACTGCTTAACTGTAGCCATGGTGGCCAGCATGGTTCCTCCTGCCCGTGGGCACTGGGATGGTGAAGGAGCAGCACCACCGTGGGGCAGCTCTGCCTGCACAGCCAGGGGCAGGGAGATGGCCCTGGCCAAAATCTTCCCTTCATGGCATGTCCCTTTCTGGCACCTTCCTTGCAGAGTCCCAGGTTAGTAATTAGCAAAGAAACCAGAGCTATTGCTGCCTTTCTAGTTATGAAAAAGTGAATGAGCGACGTCTTGCACCTTCCACAAGCAGCCTACATGAGGCTCACTGAGGATTTCTCTCACCGTTTCTCTCCCCCCATGCAGAAGTCAGCATGATTCATGCTGGGGTGGAGCAGAAGGGCACAAACATGTGTGTGTCAGTGGTTGTTTCTGCCTCTGGAAAAGAGGAAGGAAACGACGACCGATGCCTCTGCACGGTGCGAGGTGCTTGCCTGCCCGCACCGGCAGCATTTCCAAGAAGCCTCTGAGGGGGTGCCCTGGGCCTGCACCGTCCCCACAGAGCAGGACGGCGGCTCCTGGACATGAGGTATTTCTGTGGCCGGGGCTGCCTCCCCACAAAGCCCCATCACTGTTTTTGTGCCAAAAAGGGTGAGGTTTTCGGAAGAGCTTTGCTTCTGCTCTCTGCCTGCTGCAGAGGCCTGTATTTGGGCTCCGCTTGGGCTGTGCTGCCTCTCAGCTGTCAGGGCAGGTACAGGGGACGGGTGCTCATCAGCCTGTCCAGTGAATTAATTATGTAGGAGCAACTAGAAGGAGACTTCTGTGTCTTACACTGGAAACACAGAAGCGACTGCCGAATTGTCTCTTTCTCAGAATACTCTGCTCTTTTTATATATGAAATGCTAGCTGTCTTTTTGGCTTTCGTTTGTCTGTCACCGTGACATCAGGTCTGCTACTCAAAAGCCAGCGCCAGAGCCATGAATGATGCCGGGTTCAACACAGCAGCACCTGAGTAAGGGCTGAAGGTCACAGGATTTCATAAGAGACTGGTTTAGGTTTCACATGGATCCTGAGCATTAAAATATATACATATATTTATCATATGGTATATGGAAATTGTACCGGTATCTGACCTGTCATAGAGCTGTTGAGCAGCTAAGCTAAAGCTGCAGCCTTGGCTCATGATTTGGGCATTGGATTAGACAACTAATGTTGCTGTTTAATCCCTCTTCCATCACCTACTTCATAAAGCCAGGCCAAGTCCAGTTCAGTCAATGGGAAGCTTTTAAATGTAGCCAAGTTTTGGACCCAGTCTGTGCAAAACCAAACAAGCAACCTACAGAGATGCAAATCTGAACCAACTGCTGATGCAATCAACCTGAATCAGGGATTAATTCAGGATCAGCTTGACCAGGTCCTAGTTCTGAAAAATGTTTCTGGTGATGGCTTTGACCTGCAGAGTTTGCTCTGGATGGATTTGTGACACAGCTGCACAGGACTGGGGCTCTGTAGTGCTTCAGTTAACTGCAGGCATAGGGAGGAGGACAGAAAGAGAAGGGACAGTATATATGATGCACTGACCCCTTTACTATTCTACCAGATTGTAATCACATCTGTCAACCTAATGCTCTTCTTAATTGCATAAAGCACAGGTAATGGGCTGAGCTAATGTCTCATTCATTAGTGACATGTTAGAAATCAAACTGAAGGAGTAATGCTGAGCATTGGGAGCAGGAAACAGAGGGAACATCACTCCACCCTTACCCCTAAACGCTCTTTCTGGACCACGCTCTTACAGCCTATAGGGGCTGCTGCTAGAGGCTGGGCTCTGGGCAGGACTGATCTTTGTGTGTGCTGCAGGGACAGTCTTACAGTACGGATGTAGTGACCAATCCATAGGTTTTACTGAAATCTGATCACCTTGAAAGTGGTTCAGTTCCCTTGTTGAGTGAACAAAAGGAATTCCACACAGCTGGAACAAAAATTTAGGTTTAGCAAGACTGGTGAGAGCAGCCATGAGGTCACCAACTATGACCTTCGCACTGTTAGAATTTAACCCTTCTATGATTAAAAAAAGGGAAAGAAATTACTGATGATGTTCTCTAAATTGTTCCACTGGGATAGGAAATACATGTATTTCTTTCTGTGGCAGGAACAGAGGGAGATACCCATACATAGTCTCAACCCCCCTATGTAGTGCAAAGCATAACTCAAGGAGATTAACTCAAGGAGAGGAGCTTCTGACTCTACTCCACTTCTTCCACAGCTTTCCACCTGGCTGCCAAGAGAACTGATGAGCTGCTCTTGCTCTGGAACATCACCAAGGTTTTGGCTCTGTAGTGTGCTGGGATTTAGCTTTTTTAGTTTTGCCTGACTACTCAGAGATATGTAAAGAAAATGAGCCACTTTCATCCAAGAAATTCCCCTCCTGCTTTCATAGCTGATGCATGGATGGCTGATGCATAGCTGACTCCCACTGCTGAAGGTGTCACAGTTTAACTTTTAATTTGCAGCTGAAAAAAATCCTATGAGCCTTGCCTCACAAAAAGATTAGTTGGGATGTTGCTGTCCTCCCCTGAGATGAACTAGTTCTGGTGGACTCGATGTTTACAATAGGTGTCAGCCAGTGCTGGTGGAGTAAAGTAACCACATGGCAGACATTGGAGGGCTATAACTGTATTGTCTATTAAATACACGAGCAGTAAGGCTTTAAGCAGACAGTAAAAACAGCACATGAAGACAGAGATGGGTTCTGAAAAGAGCTAAGCCAGAAGCAGCTGGTTAACTGGGTTTCTAAAAAGAGACTAATGTCTGACTGGGAATTGGGACAAATTACTCAGGGATGCTATTGAACTACCTGGTATTCATCAAGCAGAGGAGCCTGGGTTCCTGCAGGGTAGTGCTCTGACACCATGCATGTGGCAGAAGAAAGAAAAAAAAAAAAGAGTGTGAAAACTGGAAATATTTACCTTTATGAAAATATCTACCTTCTGTTCCATTAAATTAGTTTGCAGAGCTGCGTGACTAACAAGAGGAGCTACAAGTGTGCCAGGTATGAAGCATGAGAGGAGCAGTGGACCCACCACTTCACAGGAGCCTGCAAGCACCAGGAGAACATACCTGGGGCAGGACGAGAAGAGAAAGCCAGGGAGCTCAGAGGCATTCTTCATGAGCGCAGTGGACAAAGCAGCAACAGGAGATGAACAGACAAGTCAGCATGAATATGAGAGGAAATTACATTCATTTCTGTACAGGGCAGGGGTACGTAAGCGACTGCAGTGCTAAATAATTATGTAACACTTAAAAAAAATCCCTGAGCTGTGGAAAAAAAAGCTGTGCCAGGGTCTCTGAGGGCTTGCAGGTATATAAAAAGATAGGTTTTGTTAAAAAAATAAATAAATAAAAAGCTGCTTTTGAAGGTTATGCTGTGCTTTTCTGAAGAAAAAAAGTGATCATGGACAGTGGTGCCTCTGAACTGCTGGCACTGCCCAGGCAGGCACACGTTACAGAGAGCTGGAAGCCCAAATGGATGGAGATGATGAATCAGCCATTTTGCTGAAAAGGTCTCAGAGAGGCAGCAGATGAAAAGGCTGAGCTGCAGGACTCAGCATAACCAAAACAAAAGAGAAGAGTGGTGTTGATACCCAGGGTGGCAGTGATGGCAAAATGTGGAGCATCCTGGGGGCTCTGGGAGGGCAGCCCTGGCACCATCCTGGCATAGTCTCACACTTCCCCTCCCTGTGTAGTGGTTTAATTTCATCTCCCCAGGCTTGCTTGCAGACCTGCACACGCCATTTTCTTGCACCTGCCTCAGTGTGGCTGTTACTTGCAGGCCGTTCTAGGTGCCATGCTGAATAAATGTAGGCTCTGGGTCTGCAGTGCTGGATCCCACATCTCCAGGTCCCACTAAGTTTCATGGGGTGCACTGGGCTTCAGGACTGGACTGCAAGATGATGAGAGTTGTTGGAGAATTTGCAAGAGAAACTTGCCAGGATAATACAGCAGCTGGAAGGAGGAGATGCCAAAAAAAAAAAAAAAAAAAAAAAAAGAGACAAATTAATTGTGTGCCTCCAGTGTGTGCACAGCTTTACATGACAGCAAGCAGCTGTGAGGGGTTTTGCTTCCCCGCAAGGCAAGCATCTCCTGATCTGGCAGTCCCGTGGGGTGTGAGTGAATGAGCCACAGCTGGAGTAGGCAGTGACTGTGATGGGCTGATGTCTGCTGCTCCTTGTTTGCATGGATATTGTGCAGGACACAGGGGGAAGCAGAAGGCAAAACTGGAGTCAAGCAGGTTCAGGCTCAAGGCTGAAAAAAATAGGTTTTCAGCTGGTATTTCTTACGAACTTTTGCTGGCCATACAGAAACTATTGAAAGGCTCTGGTAATGATTTCAAATCATCAGCTCAGGAGATAGGACAGGCACTTACAGAGAGTGTGTAGGGACTCCATTTTTCTCCATGGACTGAGGATCAGACCTGTCTGAAGTCATCAAGAGGCAGGAGATGTGGAAAGTAGTGACATACCTCATCAGACCAAACAGAGGTGAAAAGCATCCATGGTATTTGGCAGTGCAGTCATATTTCTGCTTCCCCACGAGGAACTGAGCTTGGCCAAGGGATCCAGCCTGCAGAAGCATGCTGCTCATTGACTGTGCCAGAAGCTTGGGGACCAAAAATACCTGGTGAATCCCCCTGTGCCTGTGTTCTGGAGGTTGCCTGGGACAAGACCTGTAGGAATGGCGAGTGTCACCTCCTGATTTGGTGACCACACTCTCAGGTCTAAACCCCCTGGTAGCCCAGTGAAGGAACTAGGGCCTGCCAGCTAGCAGATGTCAAAGCAGCAACACATCTCTCTTGCTGCTCCCTGTCTGGACTGTTTAGCAGAGCAGATTTCCATCTTTTTCAGCCCATAGTCCTCCACTCTAGTTCTTCCCACGTGTGCAGTACAACTTTTGCAAAACCATTTTCTGTTTACAGGCTGAGTGTGCGTGCGGGACAGACCACCGCCACTGAGGCCTACATCGCATGCCTCCCCTGAACGTGGCCCCAGAGCACGGGGAAGCTCCCTGTCAATGCAGCGAGCACCGATTGAGCTGCAAAACCACTTGAATGACTGTGACAGAGGTGGTGCTTGAAAATAGCAAGGCAACTCCCCTCAGACAGATGCCCAAAAAAACCTCACCTCTACACAGTGCAAAGGGGGTTGGTGTCACAGAGTGAAAAATATTGTTGAACCAAGTCATGGAGACGATGAAGTTTGCAATAGCTGGCATCACCTGGATTTTGTGATTGGTGTTTCGTGTTCTGAGTGGGTAAGTGCAAGTGTTGGTGCAAGGACAGTTCAGTCATGTACTGGTGCCTCCGTCAGCTCAGGTCTGAGTCAATTGCTGAGTGATTGACCAATGTGCACGTTCAGCATTAATGGTCACATTAAGCCCACGGTAAATGACACAAATCTGAATCATTTTATTCTTTCCTTGAACTGTCCAAAGTTCATTTGCTTAGCAAATTATTTCTACAGGACCACAAACCCCCTCTGAATTTCAAATTCAGGGAGAGCTCACACTTACCGCAAGGACTAATGTACGTTTTTGAGGTGTGCGTGGTGCAGTAAAGGGGAACTTAGTTCAAATGTGTGTAAAATACAGCTCACTGGGGTAGTCTGAACACCTGCGGAGAGGAACATCTGAAGAGCTGTTAAGGCTCAGAGCTGCCCTAGACCACTTGATCAAAACGTAGTGAGGAGTCGTGACAGCAGCACGGATGGCGACGCTAACAATGAGAGGAACGTAAGGATGTGGTTTGCTCTCGAGAAGGTCTTGAAAGGAGGTAGGAGGGGGAAGGAGGAGAGAGAGGTGGGCTGCTGGTAAGCAGAACGGTAGGAGTTAAAGCGCAGCGAAAGGAAATAACTGAGGCTGTAAAAAGTGAAAAAGGTTACTGAGAATTGAAGAAATCAGAGAAAAGATGTGGCTGAACAGAACCTTGCCCAAGCTCCGAGCTCCTGGTTTCTGAAGCTGCTCACTCTGTGTGGTTTGCAGCAAGACAGGGTGCTTGGACATTTAGTCCTGATTCTTCTGCCATCAAACGTGACATGGTAAATGAGGGATTAACTGATCAACAACAGGAGGAATGGACTGCCTTTGGTGCTAAGAGGAAGGGTTCTTCTGCAAGGACAGTCTCTGCTATGTGGTAAAGTGTGGCAAGGTGGCTGAGGCCATTCACTATCACGTGCTCTTAAAGGCAAAGTCTAATATGCTCCCTAAAAGAGCAAATTTGCTTTGTATCCACACTGCAGCAGGCTGTGACACCCAAACATGGCCACATACTCACCTCCCCATCCATCCCCAAACCTTAGCAGGGCTGCAGTGCATGTCCCTGTCTCAGGGGAAACCGGAGCTGAGGATGGCTGTCCCACCAGGGATGGGGAAACTGTCCCTCTGTCCTTTGGCCAGGAGAAGAAGGCTGAGCTCAGGAGTGAGGAGAAGGCATCTGTGTATGCCCTGGGCGCAGTGTGGCAGCAGATCTGTGACACCCAGTGACACCAAGTGGTAGCAGCCAGGGCGCAGCAGTAATTGTGGCACTGAAACCTAGGGCTGATGCTTTTCTCGGTGCTCTGGAGCCTGCACGGTTACTACAAACCTCACAACACTGGCAGGGAAACCCAAGGCCTGGTGACCTTTCTGTGGAGGTTCTAAGGAAAAGGTTTCCAAGAGAGTTTTGCGTGTGACTCAGGGGCTTGTCACTCTGCTGGGACAAGAGCTGTGGCCCTGATCCTGCCCAGGTTTGCTGCAGCCTGCCAAGCATGCAGCACGTTGTACAAACAACCTCACTTGCCTTTTGGGTGACTGGGGTAAAAATCATCTTGTGTGCAAGGTGAAATGACACAGAAAGCCTCTGGAGCATTCACTCTGCTGTGGTGTCCTGCATGCAGGTGGGCAGATGGCACAGAGACCGGGTGGCTTGCGATGACACGTGGCTCTCTTGGGATATCAGCTCTACGTACTGGTGGGTTTCGGTAGGGTTTGCTTTTGGAACAACACAACTGCCCCGAGCATAGCTGAGAGCATAGCTCCTGGCCCAGCAGCTGGTGTTTCAAAGCGTTTCAGATCCCCGTGCCCATCTGCATGGCACTTCAGAAGAACTGTCAGGAAGGGAGAGTTCACAGAACTGAACGAAGACGAAAGACCAGCAATCGGCAGCGCCAGGTACCGCAGTCAAGGGCTGTGCTCTTCCTTCCTCGCCTTGCAGGAGCGTGCTCGCAGGCTCCATCGGTACCAGCAGTTTGCAGATGTGCAGCAGCGTGGGCAGGGGTCTGCTGCTTGGTGTGGAGCAGGTAGGTCTCCCACAAAGCGAGCAGGCAGGAGCATAGCAGAGATAAATAGGCACACCCAACGTAAGATTCACTTGGTCCAGGCTCCAGTTATGTGAGCTGTGCCCCAGAAAGGCATGTTTCTTGGCTGTAAAAGGTGCCTAGGCAACGAACTCGGCCACAGGTGTCAATACAGTGACATCTGAAGATGCAGAGATTAATCCCACCCTCATCTACAGATACGGCACACGCTATCTGCAGCTGCCACGGCTTCGGGGACCTTGCCGTGCCCTTCCTGGCCCTGGTGGGGTGAGTCCTGCCGCAGCTCTCACCACCACAGGGCTTGTTTGTCACAGCAGAACCGGTGGAGCAGTCTTCCTTGTGGCCCTGTGCCTCAAAGGTGGATGAGTTCAGCTCGCAGTGAGCACTGTATGATTATTTGCATGGATTTTTTTTAAGAACTGAGTATCTCTGCGGTTTTTGCTCCTCCATTGACTTTAATTGAAATTTGCCAATGTATTAACAAGTTACCTAAGGGGAGAGGAGCAAGCAGACAGCACTCACCCAATCCTTGTTTCCTTCTGGGTTCAGGCTACGAGAGCGATGACCACCTTATTTCTCAGGACAGTCTAATCCACAAGGGAAAAGAGTTTTCAAACAGATAGGGTATTCAGCTACACCATGCATGTGGTCAAGGTGCTGCTGTTGAAACTGTGACTGGAGATGTAACAACACGGATTTCTACTTGCATTTAAACCTTCCATATTACAACTCCATGGAAAGGGATGGAGGCACTTGTCACAGATGTTTCTCTTTATGAACTTAATTGCCTTGTAGAGGTGTTTTTCCCCACCTGTCACTCCAGAGGCAGAACTAGAAACTGCCACAAATGGCTGTGCAAGAGAATGGCAGAGATGAATGACCATTAATGTTTGATGTCAAAGCAAATTAAGGTCAAAGGAATTAGAGACAAGGTAATCTCACAGGCCTAAATGTCTGAAGCAAAGCTGCGTTGAGATCAAGGCAAGGATGGACACTGATGGCGTGGGGGAGCCCTGCAGTGAGAATGCATAGCTTGATGCCAATGTGGGGGCTAGAGCCCTGCCTCTTCAGCCATCACCACTCTTGAAGTAGTCCCCACTAACTTTGGTGCTGGAATTAAATCCAGAGGGAACCGAGAGGTCATTTTGACCATGAAACTAATTGTGAAACCCATCTGTACTTGGATTTTCAGCTAAGAAGCTTCCAGCCAAAGCAGATGTGGGTCAAACCTAACAATTTAGATGATATATTATTGATCAATTACTCTCCGAGGTTAAGACCTCACAATCTCTCACTACGTGGCGGAGAGTGTTCCTGTGATCACACAGCACGAATGTGGCCCTCTTTCCTGAAGGGAATGGAAATTATTAAAGCGGGCACAGGTTGAGTGAGCTGCTGCATGGGAAGAGAGAGGGCTCTGACTCATCGACTCTGCAAACAACCGCATGAGACTGCAGTTTCACTTTTTGATGTGGTCTCTTTACAGAAGCATATGCCAGCTCTATTATCACAATGAAATACTCTTCATTCCACCTGGCTAAGCACCAGGTGATTTTACTTTAGGTTCTGGGGAAAGAGAGCTGAAGCTGCTGTAGTGGGCACTGTACCCTCAGCCCAAGGGAGAACTCAGTCCTTAGTGCATTCAGGGAGGAACGAAGACCTCCCACCCGTCCTCTTTATCACCTTCTTGGAGGAGAAAAGGGAGAGGCATGCAGAAAGGCCGGGATCTTGTCCTCTGAGGGCTGCGTATATAAGAAACTGCTCAAGGAGACTGCAATAAAATAATTAGGCCTCTGTTGTCTATGTGCCAGACAACATTTATTGTATAAAATGTTTGGCAAGATTAGGGAGTGCTCCTGTGTTTTATTATAATGACATAATAAGAGAAAACTTAAAAGGGAAGTTTTTGGATGTGTAATCCTTCCTTCAGTATCAGATAACCCTCCCTCTCCTGTACTGTGTACATCAGAAGAGCTTTGCACCGTGCCATCACTGTCATTTGAAAATGCTCTTAAGCATAAGGAGTGTCAGTGCCTTTCCAGTGTGAATTTACATTAATTTTGGCATCTTTATTAAATATACCAAGAACCAACTAATGAGAGTCACTGGGCTCTGCCTCCTGGATGCCTTCTCTGTTCTGTGGTCTCCAGCCCTGTGTCCAGGTGAGGATGCACCATAGCCTCGTGCCAGTATCAGAGAACTGGCTGTTTGGCTGGAAAGTTCTCAGCTTAGCTTGGTCAACTGCAAATGTAAAAGTCCAAATCTGAAGGTACAAGGAGAGCACTTGGCCTTACTAACTCCTCTTCTGAATTTTAGATGCCGATTCCTACCTATGGAGAAGAGAAACACTGTCGTATAAATAAAACCACTAGATAATTATCTGAATCTCTGAGTCCTGAACTAACGAGAATTTGGTTACTGGGTCCTTTTATTTTCCTCGTAATTGGAGATAACATCTCCCACTCAATGGGAGCCTGAACAAGCTCCCATTTGAAAGCAGTTAAAATCTTTGTACAGAACATAAGTACGATTCCGCGAAACAAGGATGGATTATTTGATTAAAGCTTTATCTTTGCCAGGGAGCTAATTCCCTGGATAAAGAGACACCCCCGTTGAACAGTGTCTAGATGAGGCCAGAAACAGGACGAAGCTTGCTTTGGATCAAGCTACTTGGTTAAAGGGCCTGGATGAATGCTTGGTGTTCGTTGATGAAGCGTGAAGTCATTTACACCTTCTTACCTTGCATTTTGCTGAGTAGGAGTGTGTACGCCTGGGTAGTTACCATGGAATAAATGACATGTTGTAAATTCACACCATCAATTAATTTCTTCATGTGCCCATGCTCTGAGGCAGAGGAACACCCTGTTTCGGGATGGTGGGTGAGGAGAGGCGTGAGGACACTGTCAAAACAAAGCTGCTGCTGCGCATATGTTGTAGGAAAATCAAGTGGCCAAGAAACCTTACAGCCACAAACTGTGTGCCTGCAGGCTTCCCATGGCCCCGGCTGTCTCAGGCTGGCTCGAGGCACCACCAGCAGCACACCAGCTCTTCCCTGGAGAACCACACGGGATCGCCTGCAGGAGCAGGAGCTGGAGCGGTCGAGGTGCCAATATCCCCATCAAAATTGGTGGGCATCCAAACTCCTTTCTGAGGGGTCCTTGTAGGCATGAGTAGAACAAGATGAAAGGTTCTGCAGGACAAGGTGGGGAAATCTTGTGGAAAACAAAAAAAATCTGAGCTTGCTTCAGTGTTTGTTGTATGTTTGAAGGAGCAGGGATGGGCATGCCCCCAGGGAGCCTTTGTTTCCTACACCCACCAGGCTGCGCTCTCCCCATGGCAGGACTACCATACAGTCCATCCCTGGATTTTTCAGCTTAATTTTCCTTTAAAAGCCTCTGGGGACTGCACAGGCCCTTTTGGTGGTGCCTACACAGGCTCCTCTGGAGCATTCAGAGACTCACAGCTCAAGGCCGAGGTGGGACCCAGAGTGACCTGTCTCCTGTGTGCTGTTTTCCCACAAAATTCCCGTGTTTGCATCACTCATCAGATTCCCCAGCTGAAAGGATGAGGGCAGCATCACTTCCAGTTTGATAAGGGTGAACAAATCCAACAATCGCAATGCAAGGAAAGGGCCAGGCAGGGCTGGGAGGCTTCTCCCCAGCACGGGAGCTGCTGGGAGGAACCCCAGCACCGCTTCCTTAGCCCAGCTCTCACAGCTAAACCAAAAAGTATCATTTATTTATTTATTTGTTTATTTGCCGATGTGTTAAAGTTACTTTCTCTGGGTAACGTTAAGTCGTGAAGTTAGGGCTGGGTGTTAAAATGCTTTCCCAATTCTGGAGCTGTTCACAGGGGTGCAGATAACGCGGCGGAGCCACTCGTGCGCGGTGCTGGTTGGTGAGTGAGGTGAAGTGAACCGAGCGGCTTAACCACAGGGACCTGTTTTCTTTCTGCGCCGGAAACACCTGCCAAAAGGGCTGCGTTCACCCGGGCTGCACCAAGAAAAGCCCCAAATGAAACTTCCATCCATACAGCGGCGGGTCGCGAGATGACACCGGGTACGCGGGCTTATATGAAGTGCAGTTTGCTTCAGTTTTTGATGGGGTGATCCATTTGGGACCACAGGGCAACCTGTGGCGTGATGCAGCAGCAGCCCTTCTCCCAGCACAAGCCTTCGTGGAGGGGATGGTAAGCTCTGGCTCCACACACAGCAGCTCCTCCATCAACACTGCTGCTGCAGCCCCAACCCTCTGAGCCCCCAGAGCAGTGGTACCGTGCCCTTTGCCAAAACGGTGACCTGGCATTTCTGTAATCTGTCAACGGAGGGAAGGTGAAAGCTCCAGATGGTTCACAAAGGGGAGCAGTTGGCTGCTTCTGTCCTCTCTGCACCTTCTGACATGCGGTTTGCATGCTAAAAGCCCACGCCAGGTCAAAGCCAGCAGTGCGAGTCCTTCGTGCACGTGGAGCTCAGCCCGCAGAGGAGGGGCAGGCCGAAATGCCTGGCTGGAGAAGTGGGTGAAGGTTTTCGCCTCCTCCTTTCGGCATCTACCCGCTGTGCACGATCCGCTGCCCGGGCCCTGCTTGTCAGCTCTTCTCCTCCGGAGGCTTGCCAGCCTGGGGCATGTTTAAATGTCAAGAGCTGGGGAAAAGTCAGCCTGCCTATTTTCAGCTTTGCTAAAATAGGTCCAGTGAAAGCACAAGCAGCTTTTAGCCGACGGCATCTGGTACGTTTTCTGTCCATGCTACTTGTCCTGCGGGCAGATGTAAGTTAGTCTCCATGGCTGGTTCCCTCCAGGTGTCTGTAGGGGTGCTGTGCTCAGCGTGTCCACCATGAAGCAATGGCTGAGGGACACGTCTCCTAAATGTCTTTAAGCATTTTGGTTTGCAGCAGTGAAACTGCCAAAGCATGTAAAAAGTAGACGATCGTGAGATTTGCACTGTGGCATGGACAAAATATTTTTTTTTCTTGAATGGAACAAAATTGGAAACTGCTTCAGTGCTAACAGGGAAGGACATGGCACACAGATGGGTTGCTCTGCACCTGAAATAATTCTGCATGTGTGCAAAATACATGTTCCATGGCTTCTGAGGATGTTTGGAAAACATGCCATTTTCCAGATGCTTTCAGTGTTATGTAGAGAGCTGGGTAATGTCCTCTCACAGCCACTGGCTTTTCCTTTTCATAACTGACTTCCTTATCTTTTTCTTCTCTCCCTTTTAAAACAGAGACAAAGTTCACCTTACTGTGAGATTTTCCTCATACACAATGCAGAGCACAACAAATATTACATGTGCACATTTATTCTGTCCCATGACCAATGGTGCCGTATCTTTGGTAGTTTACTCTACGATCTTTGTTGTTTAAGCCCCTAAAGGTTTTTATCCCAAAGACTGGTAGCAAGCAAACGTTGCTCCACGTGTCTGTAGTGTGAGGACAGGAGAGCTCGTGCTGTGAAGTGACGGTGGATGAGAGGACAGGGTGCAGCATGGAGTGACGGGCTTATACGGGAAATTAGGGTACAGCCTGCATAATGCTATTGGAATTTGTAGCTAGAGGATTAGCTATCTTTATAAATACCCAATGCAGAATGCATGTGTGAAAGTAGTGCAAAAGGCTTTAATAATTTTAAGGTCTGAGTTCTCTACAACCAAAGCTGGGAGGATGCAGTGCCTAAGGTTTGATCTCCATAAGGAGTTTGCTTTCTACCTCTAGTCTTTGTATTCATTTATGTGGAATTTTTAAGGATCATGTTTACACAAGATTTTGCCTCACTCTTCTAGAGGCTGAGCATGGAAAAAGAGGAACGGGTATTTATCAGTAAAGTGGATCTATCTGGTCACACTCATAGGGTATAATACGATTAGATTTGTCAGCTTAGGTAGCCAATTGATTTACTTTCATTAGGAAGTGGCTGCATCTTGGTGCCATTAGATTACACAATTTTTTTATGCTATGACACAAAATTTCATCGCTGTGATGAGCAAACACCTAGCAACTGTGCAGTGAAATCTGCTTGGAAGTTTTAACAATACATCACTCAAAGACAATTTTGTTTTTCCTTGTCTGGCTTTGCTATCCACGAGTTGTTGCTGCAGTAACAGAGTCTCAGGATACACATCAATAACAGCTATTGGTGGGTGTACCGTAGGATGACTATTTCATCCTATATGTTTTTAGGATGTAATTTGATGAAAACCTTTGAAAACCTTTTATTTATTTATTTTTTATTTATTTTTATATATTTTTTTGTCAGGAGTACCAACCTACATGTATATCATTTTCTTACCAGACCTCAGCTGGGTCAGTACAGCATTCTGCTGGACTTCATGATAAAGTTAATCCAATTATTTTTAACCTGAGGTTGTTTTTGTATTTGCTCCAGATTTAGCCAAACAAAGCATACTAGCTGAGGGAGACTCCACAGGGAGGGAATAAGTAGCAGTGGACACAAAGTGGTGTAAGCTGCTATTGCTGCTGAGCAAACACGTGAACTGGTAGGTTCAGCACAGCTTTTACACCTATGTTCAGGAGCTCTTTTCCCCATCAGGAGTAACCTTTCACCACTTGGAACTTTACACAGGTGATAAGAAACCTTTCTGGGACAGCTGCTTTGTGCAGTTATTCAGCCGATTTTTGCAAGGTTCCTCCTCTGTAACTTTCTTCCCTGTTTCCTTGGCATCACTGAGGTCATCACCAGGGACATCCCAAGAGGCTCTCCTAACTTTGAATTGACCACGGTGAGCCCTAAATCCTCTCTAAAAAGCATTTTTCTCACAGCTCTAACAGACTACCAGTTCATATTTTGATTTTAACAGAGACCTGCTGGGTAAGGACAGAACATTCAACTGCACACCTGAGGACAGCCTCAAAGTCGTTGTCCCCCATGCTGCCTTGGTCACCACCTGCTGTACTTGTGTGATGTCCATCAGTTCCTTCCTGGCAGCACAAGAGGCAGCAAAATGGGACTTGCAGCCACTTTTCTCTGACTTGGAAATTCAGTATTACATTGGTTGTTCTCCCCAGAGCTAGCTGTCACCTAGGCAGCTCCTGAACACATGACACACTAGAAGATGCCATTACTTCAAACATCCTTGTTGTAACAGAAGGTGACATTCAACCTTATGATCCTGCTTCACGGCTATAAGTGATTTAATCTGTATGAAATCTTAGAAGTGCCCCATTTAGAGGATGAGGGTTATTTATGTCAGCTCTTACAGAATGTTCTCTGCTACAAGGGATCCTTGGAACCAAGCAAGGTCACCTGTGATAGTTTAGCTTCGCTTCAATTTAAGGCTTCTTTTGGTCCTATATACCTTTTGAACAGGGCTCAGTGAAGGATTTTATGAATTTTCAAGGGTCAGGCCCATGTAGATAGACTGAGACAGCAGTAGCACCTGTTTGGGTTGAATGTAGCTGCTACGGAACTGCAGCCTGGACAACATCCCTCTCAGTGTCACAGTGAGCTGCTGAACTCCCCCCATATTCACAGCTGCCAGTCACCAGCCAGGTTTTCTTCTCATCTCTTCTATGCAGAGTGCCCCCAAAAAAGCCACAGTAAATAGGGCATGGAAAAATACACACTCATAAGGAGAGTTACACACAGACTCCAGAGTCCCCAGGAGAGATCTTGGCACTTCAATAGTTACAGGAGAGCATTTATCCTTTGAAGGGCCAGTCCTATGTTTCAACTTGGATATCATATGACAGATATAAGGGTCCTGAAGAGGATCAGGATGATTGACCATTCTGGAGATGAAGGACAGTCCTTCCATGTACATTATTACTTTTGCAGGAGGCAGATCCTGTTGTTCCATGACAAACAAGAAATCTCTCACTTGGTCCACTAGAATTGGCCAAAATGCAGGCAGTGCCATGCCTTCTCCAAAAGGCAAGAAAATTCTTCAGGCCCTCATAGTACATTCGTCATTGGTGTCTGTCTCCTGAGCACTCCAGTAACAGCAGAGTCCTCAGGGGCAAAGGGCCCAAGGGTTGCTTCTCAGGAACATGGCTGAGCTCATCTACTGAAAGAAATCCACATTAGCAACAGCAAGTCAGCCTAAAAAGCAACAAACAGAAAAAAAGCTTCTTCCCTTTCAACACCCTTTGACTTTTGTTTGAACTTCTTTGGAAAATTAATAACTCTGTCCCTTACATTTTTATGACTCACCTGAACAGCCTCCAACAGCTGGAGCACTGGTGAAGGATTAAGTTCTCAATAAGCATAAGGACATACTGTGATTTTTTTTCCTCTTTAAAGCTATGCCTGAAGCCTGGCAACACACACAGTATGCTACAGCAAGGTTTTTGCAGTGCCAGACCCCGTGAATGCATGCAGGGGTCCAGAAGTGACAAAGCCACACACTAGGAATAAATCCATGACTACACTGAAGTCATAACAGGCTTCCAGAGCATGGTCAGACCCCACATCAGAAGCCTACCAAGCCTCCACCCACCTCAACCACCCCATCAGCCCCCCCACACACACACATCCAAGCCTCCTCTGCACCCTTCTGGGAGCTGCTGGACCAGGAGCTGGGCATGGAGTGGCTGCAGCTGTGCCTCGTCAGCCAGGTGGATCCTCTGCCATCATGTGGGACTGTGGTGGTGGTGTCCTGGTGTTTCCCAGCAGTGTGGAGTTTGCAGTACGGTGGTGACTGGTGAGTGTGGCCATGATTTGTGAGGGGCAACAAGCATGTGTGGTGGCTTTTAGCCAGGGCAGTGGGCTGCTGAGGGGGGTGAGTGGATCAGGAGTGTGCTCTGTGACCTTCTCAGTGTAAGGTCTGTAGGCAACACTGGAAAGGCTGGCTCTTAAACCTTCTCTGCTACCACTCTGTAAGTTCCTGCAGTGCTCCCATACCTAGTGCTGGAGATGTGCCAGGTGTGGGACTTGTAGCCTTTCCCACCTGAAAAATATCTCAGCTTGTTAACAGCTCTGGGTGTAGCTGTGTGTGAAGTGAATGTCTCCAGGCAGATAAACTACTAGAGCATTGTTTAAGTGTGTATCACACCTGAAGTCACACATAAACACTCTCTTCATCACGCCTTGACTGGCATGCTTGTGCCTGTTGTCAGCATGCGCTAATATAGAGCCTGTCTCATAGGAAGGGAGTTTAGTCGTCCTTGGAAACACTCTTTGGGACCTTGGCCTCTGAAGACATTGACATGGGGATTGTTAGTGTTAGGTTAGAGGTTGGACTCGATGATCTTGAGGTCTCTTCCAACCTAGAAATTCTGTGATTCTGTGTGATTCTGTGACATTGTTGGAGTGCTCGGGGGATGTTAGGCTGTGGCAAGCCTACCTTGAAGGACTAAATAAATTCCTTGCCTTTAGGAAAGGCATGTGGATGCCTGCAGCCTGGCCCATTCCAGAAGATCAACCTAAAGGGTTTTTGGCTGTGGAGTCTCTTTACTCATCCTCAAAGATGTTGAAGTATGTGGCAGCACTGTCTTATTTGTCAAGACTAACTGGTAACCCTAATCCTCTGGAAGATGCTGTAACCCATTGCATGGTGATAGGGTTGAAACGTCAAGTGGGCATTCTGAGGGATAGATACACTCCTGTAACAACTGAGGTGTCACGCTCCCTCTTAGGAGCTGCGGAGTCTGTATTTATATCCCATTACGAATGCTTACTGTTTCATGCCTTGTTCACTGCAGCTTTTTTTGGGGCACTTCGAGTAGGAGAGATGGTGGCAAAGCACCATGCTGCACTGCAGCCAGAACTGCTGCACTTGAGTGACACCCAGGTGACAGAAAGCAGAGTGGTGTTTCATTTGTGTATCTCTCCTTTTGACCAGGAGAGACATGCCATCAGCCTCGGGCTGTCTGAGGAGCCATGGGTGTGCCCTGTCCTGGCCCTCCAGAGCTATGTGATACATTCACCACTCAAAGGGCTGCTCTTTGTGCACATGGATAATGTGCCAGTCATGAGGAGGGAATTTCTGACCATTCTCCAATGGGTCCTGAGGCTGCTGGGGCTTCTGGGGAGCAGCATGGCCTGCATTCCTTCTGGCTGGGGACTGTCATCACTGCCACATACTGCGGGTATGCCGGGGAGGACATCACCTGCCTGACGAGGTGGCCCTGCATGATCCCAGAGAAGCCATAACCATGGAGACTGGGGGGAACACAGAAGCTCATCAATTCTTCTTTCTATGGAAGTTTAACCTCATCGTTTCTAGTCAGCGGCAGTAACTTAAGTCCCAATGTCTGCAATGATTTATCTACCTCACACCACAACGGCTCCTGAAGTTCCCCTGCAGGCGCTGCTTACACTGTCTGCAGCCCCAAGGGTGGAGTGTCAGACCTGCTGCGTGTGGACCTTGTCTGCCTTCACAGCAAGTCTGCAGATGCTTTTATTTTGTGTAACTTGAATTAATAAATGCTTCCAGTTTTAAAACAGCCTATGCTTACTAGTAATATTATTTTTCATGCATCAGAAATTGTAGGCTCAGCTTTTTTAGAGTAATAAATGGCTAAAGTTTGGAAGCAAAACTTGAGAATTTAAGTTAATTACTGTAAGACAGCAGGTAGTTACACTTTTTAAAACCAAAATATATTACAATTTATGGCTATACAAAAAGTTGTCACTAAGGTCAAAAAGGAAATATAACCTACATGACTAGTTTAATAACAGACGCCAAAGATTGAAATAAAAAAAAACAAAAACAAAAATACTGATACTCGTAAGATGTGTTCAAAGCAATGTCTTCTGCTTAGATGGGGGGGCTGAAACATTTTTGCTCAGCAAACGCTAGCTCTGAAAATATTTCATTGAATCTGCTAGCCCCAGTTCGCTCTGAGCATAATTAGCCTGATCAGAATTTTAAATAGCTAAAATATCACACAGTTCACTTAACAGTTAATTATTTCCTTAGAATGTGTTACTTGTCCTTAATTCAGCCTGTTTTCTTTTCTCCTGAATTTTAAGGTGCTTTCTTAACTTTCTTAAATTGAGGAACCTTCAACCATAATTGTGAAGTTTGATGGCTAGAGTACTTCCAGTTTTGTAGTTACAGCACTTGCAGTGCCATGGGATAGAATATATTTTTTACCCTGTGGTCAAACTGGGAAGGGCTTTGATGGGTCAGGTGGACTCGTGGCACCTTCAGAGAACTGCAGCAAGCTGCCTGATCATCCTTGCTGCTATTGCTGCTCCAAACCTGGAACAACAGTGCTGCTAAATAGGGTAGCTTAGTATTTTACTCTGCCCTGTGCTGCCTTCTAGCAAAGATGTGGGTTACAGCGTGGGAGCTGGCTGGAATTTAATGCTGGTGTGATTGCCATGGAAATAATTAGCCATGATTTCTCAAGCCTTCTGGTTACTGGAAGGTAACACTTTGCAGGGCACCACCAATCTGCTACTCTTTACTGTTACTCTTTCTTCTTTTTTACTATGAGAGCTGCATTGTGTTGAGCGTGGGACTTAGTACAATGTGGCAAGACTTCAGTGGTTAGCACGGTATCTGAGATCTTTGTTTTTAACTGTGCTTCAGTTAAAAGCTGGCTTTGTTCACTGGAAATGCTTGTTTGAATAGTAACTCCTGCATAATGCCTAACTGTAAGTAATGTCTGACTGAGGTGCTGCTAATGGGGCATCTGCCAAGGGACTTCTCCTGAGGTGCCCACTGGTTGGGCTGAGCAGAGGCTTGCTGTGTACCTGCCTAAGGAGCTGCTGCTTTATGTGCTTTCTGCAAGATTTCATAGGTGTCCAAGCTTTTTTTTTTTAAGTGTTCAAGCTTTTTTTTGCCTTCCTTGGTGTACGTGATGTCTAACATCTATAGGAAGAGACAAGACGCTGCCCGGTTTATCTTTTCTTTCCCACTACCCGATTGTTTTAACTGACAATAACTTTTCTCAAGTTGTGTCTGTTTTACCTATGGCAGTAATTAGGAGACCTCCCCATCTTTGTCCTGACCTGTGAGTGTTCTTGCTTCCATTCTTCCTGTCTTCTCCCCCTGTCCCACTGGCAAGGGGTTTGGCTCTAAGTCAGAGCTAACCCACTGCTTTCTGGTACATCTGAGAAATCCCAGGATGGCTGCAAAGCACCATGGAGTAGGCAGCTCCGTTCAGCTACTCACACAAGTCACTGTGGCTCCTTCATGAAGGTGAGGAGTTAGAAAAAGTCCTGGAAGTATTGTCATACCCCATGGCTTAAGGTAGGCTATTAAGAGAGCGGCTGATGTTTGATTTAATACCCTACTAGTCCAAAACAAAAACACAACCCTGTTTTGCTTCCTGTGATGGCCTTATTGCAGAAGCTGTTTCCAGCCCCTCTGAGGGATTAACGGCCCTGTGCCACCAGGGGGATTGAGGGGCTGAGCTGGCTGCCCTGTGCCTTGGAGAAGGGCATGATTTTAGGCAGATCAAGGCTGACACAAGTGCATTTTCTTTTGGCTCCATTGACTGCTGGTTATGTCAATGCTTTTCCTGCAAGAGTTGATGAGGGTTTTTAGTATAAATGGTAAACGTTTGATACATTTGCAGAAGTTGTGTAGATGAGGATGACACAGAAGGATACAAATCTTTCTAACAAAAACAAACAAACAAACAAAAAAACAACCCACAACCAAAGCCTAGAGAAATACAGCTGAGGTTCCAGAATACAAAGGCTACTGTGGGTTATTAATGCTTGTAATGTAAAGTGGTGATTAGGAAGCTATCTTTTTTTTTTTTTTTTTTTTTTGCCTTGAGAAGGAAAGACTTGCTAGAGGATGTCTTTAGCTGAACTGACTTATTTGATATAGAAAAAGTAGTTTGGCATTCAGCTTTGTGTTCATCGTGAGACTTCAGCAGAGAAGTAAACTGGTATTTTAGTTTTATTGGTGTCTGCTTCAGGGTGGCAGGAAAGACTGTGGTTGAAAATGAGTTGTTACTGTTTCCTAATGAGGTATTTGAAGGTGCAAAATGTACCTGTCTCCTTCCACAGTATATAAGCTCATCTCTTCCTCTCTGCCCTTTTTCCCCCCTACTTACTGACATAGTCAGCTGGAAGCATCTGAAGGTGAGAGCTTTCTGTTCAGCTGAGAACTGAATTCCAGTGGAAGAGTCTGACCTAAAATGCATGTTCCAGGGGAAGAAGAAAAGCCTCTAAGATTTTTGCCTTTTTTAAGTCAAAATGTGTTCAAGACAGGCAGAAATTGGTCAAGGCTTTTTAACAGCAGAAAACCATCCAGGGACAAAAAGTTCTTTGTCCAAGTAGATGGAAGTAGCTGGTGGAACTGGGAGATATCAAAATAAACATGGTACAAGAACAGCTTGGTGGCTATGCCTCGCTGTTCTTACCAAGTACCAGGACTCTCCTATTTAATTGACCTCAGCAATAAACTGTGTTTCTCAGCTGGGGAGACAAGAAGATCTTGCAAATATTTTTAGAGTATAAATGGATCCTTAAAACAGGAATGGCAGTATTGATCTTAGCCTCTTTCTTGTGTTGTGTATACTTTCTTTCTGAAACCTCAGAAATCTGTCTGGCTTCTGGGGAACCTGGTATTCTGCAAATAAATTCCACAACGATTGTTCTGCACTACTGGAAAAAAAGGATGTCTGTTTTATATGTAATATTTGTCTTCAGTGTGATACTGATAGAAGAGGAAAAACTACCTCTGTTCTTATTTCTGTCTACATTCTGTAGCTGTCACCAGAGACTTTCATTTTGTACCCCTGAAATGGAAGTGAAGTCTAGGAAGTAGCTGAAGAGGTGATGAAGACTCAGCGATGATGTCAACTTTGCTGAATTCTCTGATCCCAGCACTGAGAAGCATGGAAATATGTTTAAGGGACAGCCATCATAGAGGTAATCAGCTTCTCCTGCTTACCTAAAAAGTCATCGTTTGATAGGCTGGCATATTTTTTTCACATAACAGGGTTATAAATGTAGTGCTTGATCTATAATTGCTGGAGCTATATGTTTGCTTTTGTGACAGTAAAACCAAGAACCTGTTTTCTCATGAATGTTAGGAGTTTCATTGGCTTAGAATCCTAACGTGATTACTTCAGATTTTCAAATATTTTTTCCTTTTTTAACACTTTGCTGTTGTAAAGATCCTGAATTCTTTCTTACAATGTTAATGATTTCACACTTTTTATCATGTTAAGTGTGAAAGGTTAAGCATACAGACTGCAGAAAGAGCTAAATTACTCTTGTACTAATCACTGTCTGCTGGAGGAAATTACTGTATTATGTATTACTGTTGAGATACTGGTGAATCAATATTCATGTAGAAGCCTGAACTCTTACAATTTCTACAATTTATAACTGTTGTATTTAATTAGACTCTTTTCAAGGGTAAAAGAAGTGATTAATTGTATTTTGTATCTTAAAAAGTCTTTGTACACCTGGCTGGCATGCTTTTCATTCTCAAGATTGTGATGCTTATATAAAATATATATTCCTTAGAATGACAGAAATAATGTTGCCCTTTAATTAGTACAGCACTAATTAATTATCAAGTGTATGTACTTGAACAGTTAAATTTTTCATTGTTGAATTGTACCTCCAAGTTCATTTGTGTTCTTTGAGTAGACAAAATTTGCAAGAAAAGCCATCTTTCCAAAACTATTGCAAGTAAAACAGGAAATATAAGTTAGATATTTGTCAGGTTTCACACCAAGGTCCCTGAGTACTTCTTGTTCTTGTGGAATGAAAACATCCCCTGCTAGTCTGCCTCTACAGCATACAGTGTCCTTTGATCCCAAAGGCCCAAGTCCAGAAAGCTAAAGATAAATAGACAAATGCCTTTCAGCTTAAGGTTTTCTCTTCAGGCTTTATATAAAGTATTATTCCTGCTATAAAAGCTACTGAGGAGCTTTTATGAGACTAATCTGCAAGTACAAACAATTGCATGTTCCATATATTCTTCTTGTCAGCAACCAGCACCTGGGAAGTAGCTGGCAAAAGAAGACCTTAAAATAATGTTAAAAAAAAAATAAGGGCTTCCACTGATTTGTTTCTTGAAATATCCCCCAAAGTGCATTTTGCATATCTAGAATTATTATTTTTTGTGTGACAGTGACTTCTTTTTATAACATATGTAGAAGTAAGATATGGTTGTGATATAACATCTGTACATGCAGCAGTTGAGATGTTTGCTTCTATGCTGTGGAGACTTGCTTGTTTCACTCCACAGCAAGGAGGACACCAGACCTTCTGCAGCAGCTGTAATAGCAGCACACAGGGCATGTCATGCCAGTGCTCTTGCTTTGTTTACCCTGCTCTGGCTTTCTGTTGAAGATGTCTTGTTTCATTTCATGTTCTCAGGACATACCTCCTCAGAGCTTCGTAATTGCTAAGGCTGCAGAGCTGTAAGCTGTAAGTAGGCATTAAAAGTACATTTATTTTAAAGTAACTAAAGGGAAAATAGTGCTTTTTGATCAAAACAGATAAAGAAGGCTCTGGTTTGTGTTGTGATATGACATAATTTTGGCTAGAAGCATCAGTGTAGTGCTGAATCCACCAATCATTGCCAGCTCACTGGGTCATGCCTTCCAATGAGATGTTGTAACGAGCTGCCAGCCTTTCCCTCAGGCTGGCTGTGTATTCACTGTTCACTGCAACACAGAGCTCAGCCATACCACTGTCATACTTACCACTAATTTTTAGGATTGCAGAAGATTACTGAAGGTATATAAGATTATTGGCAGAAAGGAAAGAATTAGAGAATGTGTACAAGAAATCAATGCTTTTTTTCCTTATGTATGGCTTCCCGCCAGCAAATCAAACAGAATCAAGAGTCCAAATCAACCAAGTAAGACTCCAGACCTGAACAGATATCAATGATTATTAATACCATTGAATTCAGAGCAGCTCTCTGAAATGGCAGTGTAATATGCTGCTTTTGCCTAGAGCCCAGGAGTAAAGTAAATAAGGAATTTGTTGCTAAAACTGTTCCAACTTCTAACAGTGTTCTTATGCTAGCTCTTTTATACTGGTTTGGGGAATTGCCTCTTGAAATTTCATATGCATTTCCCAAAAGCAGGATGACTGTAGGATTGTCTGTCCTTTCATAGTTCTGCTACCTGTAGGCTGTGATATAATGTCTCTTGCATTTGCCCCAACATCTTGGTTCTGTTCTATTTTAGAATAAAACACTCTTCATGCCCTTCATCCTGCTAAAAGGCAGCTGAGCAATTGGCAAAGATACTTCACAGCCCCCTGCCAATTGTTGTCAGACAAGCAGCAAATGTTTCCCAAAGTGCACAAACCAGCCAGGTATAACGTGTGATTATAGTAGCATATTATACTTTTATACATTCTGCTAGAACACACAATTTTGGTCTTAACTACTTTTATACCTCAAAATCACCTTCTGTGGAACTTCAAACACAGCAGTTATTAAGCCCATAAGATTGAGATCAGTGTTGCAGGTTAACACTTCTGGATGGCAGATCTTTGATTTATGGGCAAAATGAAGTTTTTCAGCCAGTTAACCAAAGAAATACTGAGCATTCATTACATTGCGCTTGGTGTAGGTTGGAAAGGATGAAACATCTTGGTTTTAGATGATCACTTAGAACTTTACAGATGAAAACCAAAGGTATTCATACAGCCTTTCTTAAGTTTATTCTGCAGCCACTGTGTTCACAGATGCTTAAGACAAGAGGTACTGTCTTAGACTTGTGTTGGTGCTTTGTTCCCAAGATCTAAATGAGCCTGTTATGCCAGAATGAGCACAGCTGCATGCTTTTAGTAAAACTGCAGGTTTACTGCTAATCTTGCTTAAGGAGAAATTTATCCTGGTCTGTAGCATAACGTAGCTGTGTTCCTGCTAGAAGGTGCTTGCTGGAATGGCATACTGTTACTCTTAAGCTGGCAAAACTCAAAAGCGTAGCCTAAAATGGGTGTGCCTGGGAATCTGTATCCTGACAATATTGCCTAAAGTTTGAGGGACCTGTAGGGAGGCAATTTGTCCAGCCCAAAAAGCTGAGCCTGTCTGATTACAATGCTGCCTGTACCACTTCTGTGAGAAGTGCACAGCTAACTGGAGCATGGCACTAGAGAGTGAGATGCAAGAAATGTCTTTAATACTGTTCAGCCTCAGATGAAGTCTGTTCTAATTGTTGGCTTGTCTGTTCTTTCCCTCACAGGCTGTAGCATCTAGACCTAATGTTCTTGATGGTTTGCTTATTGTGGGCATCTGGTTTTGAGCTGGCGTCTGAGTGAGCTGAGCATGGCCAAGTTTTAGCACAAATGGCAGTGTGTTCTTGATGGTGCAGCTTGGTCAGATTCTGTAACAGGAAAAGAAAACTGGCAGAGTCTGCAAGGAAAAGGAGTGTATCCAGCTGTTATGCCTCTCTTACAAGAAGCTTCAGGTCCCTTGCTGTTAGAGATGAAGCCAGAGCTGCTTTCTTGGAGGTCAACCTGATTTGCCATATCAGTGACTTAATGAACAATTTTTGGTTAGATGAGTAGAGAGGTCTGTATCTCTTTTCTGTGGGGTCTTCTCTGTTTTCTGCCACTTCTTTCCTGTCAAGCTGCTTTCAAAAGGGACACTTAAGAAATCAATAGTGGTCGTATTAATATTAGTGCAAACCCAGAATAATTTCTCTGAAGGTAGAGTTGCTCTGGGTTTATGCTAGCATTCTTGTGATCAAAACTCACTTTTCAGAAAAGTAGCTAAAAAGGAAAGCCAACAAATTTTCCCAGCCTCAGATGCATCTTGGGAGGAAGCCTGAAGAATGAAAGTATGCACATACTGTAAGAAGCTTCAATAGCTAGAACTTATAAAAAGTTCTTTTCCCTCAGAGATGAGTAGTTAGTGCTTGTCTCATCCTATTTTGAAGTTTGTTATGCGCAAATAAGGCTTTTGTATTGTGGTAATTTAGAGTTTTTTTTCTGAATATATATATAAGTAGGCAACTTTGCAGTAGTTGTAAGCTTGGAAATTAGTTTAATGAGTTTAGAAAACCACTCTTGGAGTGGTTTGTCAAGGGAACTATCTATATTCTCAGTAAAGCAATTTTTTCTTCCTCTAAATCCTGGAAATGTGGAGAAATTCCCTGGGTAGGACTGTTATGTATGATTAGATGGAGCTGAAACAATTAGGTAATGCCAAAATTTGTGACAAAAATGTCTGCTTAGTGTCTGTCTAGATGTGTTTTACAGTGTAAGCAAAATTGTGTGCAACACTGGCCAAGTAGCAGGTATGAATACTGCGGTAGCAGTCATGCTGCAATTGGAGTTCTGTTTAGATTGATACATTATGGTCTGGTTTCTTTCTTGACTTTATCTTTGGCATCCTGCCTTTGCAGCCAGCTGCTCTGTATTAGTACACAATATTAATCTTAGCTCTTTGCAGGGAACTTGGATAAGGATACAAATGTTTAGATGTAATTTAGTTTGTGTTGCAAGGTAGATGTGAGCTTACCAGGAAAGCATTTATCTTAGGGGGTGCTAGGGATTGCCTCTATGTAGATTCCCTCATGTATACAATGTTTTGCTACCTCTTTATAAGGATGTTACTTCTGACCCTCCCCTCCACTTTGAATTTTAAAGATAAAATTTACCTCTGAGTTAGCATCTGAAATGATGTCTGCCCTTTAGTTGTCTTCAGTAAACTTCTGAGTTTGGTCAGTTTTTGTGAAGTCCACCTGAGCCGATGGAATTGTGTTCGGGGGATCCTACAGTTGTCATCTGCCTGTACCACAGTACCTGGGGGGCTTCCTTCTACTTCTCAAGGCTGAGGTACTCTGTTGTCTTCCATGTCGCAAGAGCAATCAGGCAGAAGATATTTGAGTCTCTCTACACTCTTGTAACTGGGTAAAAAATTTCTATAATAATCCAATTTGGTTTAGAGC